ATCTCGCCAATCATGTCGATGCCCCACATTGCGAAAGGCCTAGGAGCTGTCAAAACATTCAGAGGAACTGGAGGTACATGCACCTTATTAGCATAAACTTGACACTTATGATAGGTCCGAGAGTGCTGATAACAATCGGCTTCCATAGTGGACCAATAATATCCTGCCCGTAGGATTTTCTTTGCCATGGTATGTCCACTGGAATGAGTTCCGAAGGTACCTTCATGTAACTCTGCCGTGATCTTTTCTGCCTCGCTTTTGTCCACACATCGCAGTAAGGTCGAATCATGGTTACGCTTATAAAGGACACCATTACTGATGAAGAACTTTGCAGCGAACCTTCTCAGAAACTTCTTATCATTAACAGATGCACCCTCGGGGTACTCTTGAGACTCAAGATACCTCTTTACCTTGTGGAACCAGGGTTTATCTGCTACCTCTTCAGTCTTGATGTCCCAGCAATGTGCGGGTTCATCCAACCTCTCGATGGTAATCTGGGGAGCTTCATTGTCCCACCTGACTTTGAACATAAAGGACATGGTAGCTAGCGCGTCCGCTAACTGATTCTCTTCTCGTGGGAAATGTTCAAAGGTTATCTCCTCAAAGTGTGGGAGCAATGTCAGTACATACTCTTTGTAAGGAATAAGATTTGGGTGCTTCGTATCCCACTCGCCTTTGATCTGACTAATCACCAGAGCGGAATCTTCGAATACACTCAAGAACTTAATCCTCAGATCAATAGCAACTCGAAGACCCAGGATAAATGCTTCATACTCCACCATATTGTTGGTGCAATTAAAACATAATCGGGCGGTGAACAGAGTATGACAACCTTCAGGAGATATGATCACAGGGCCAATGCCATTACCCAACGCGTTTGACGCTCCATCAAAATACATAGACCATCGGGATCCTTCCTCAGGTCTTTCATCTGGTCCAGGTTCTTCACAGTCGGTCACCAACATGATGTTCTCATCCAGGAACTCGAAATTCATGGATTGGTAGTCATCCACGGCCTGATGTGCCAAATGATCCGCCAACACACTCCCTTTGATTGCTTTTTGGGTTATGTATTGGATGTCGTACTCGGTTAAGATAATCTGCCATCTTGTTATTCTTTCGGACAAGGCAGGCTTTTCGAAGATATACTTGATTGGATCCATCTTTGATATCAATAAGGTGGTGTGAGTCAGCATATACTGTCTCAGCCGGAGAGCAGCCCATGCCAAAGCGCAACAATTTTTCTCGAGCAATGAGTATCGGGTCTCACAGTCGGTAAACTTTTTGCTAAGGTAGTAAATAACGTGCTCTTTTCGGCCAGACTCGTCATGTTGCCCCAACACGCACCCCATTGAATTGTCCAGTACTGTCAAGTATAAAATTAAAGGTCTTCCTTCAACTGGAGGTATCATAATTGGCGGTTCTTGAAGATATTATTTTATTCTTTTGAAAGCGGTCTGGCATTCGTCATTCCACTTTACCACTTGATCTTTTTTAAGAAGCTTGAAGATTGGCTCACAAGTAGCGTTCAAATGTGAAATAAACCGGGCGATGTAATTCAGACGTCCTAAAAAGCCTCTAACTTCCTTTTCTATGCGGGGAGCCGACATCTCCTGTATGGCTTTCACCTTGGTAGGGTCCACCTGAATACCCTTATTACTGACGACGAAACCCAACAGTTTACCAGACCTCACCCCGAAGGTGCACTTGTTTGGGTTCTGCCTTAGCTTGTACATCTTCAACCTGTCGAACAGTTTCTGGAGATGGTCAAGGTGCTCTTCCTCAGTCTGGGACCTTGCTATCATGTCATCAACGTAAACCTTAATCTCATGGTGAATCATGTCGTGGAATAAAGCGACCATGACGCGCTGATAAGTTGCCCCAACATTCTTCAACCCGAAAGGCATTACCTTGTAGCAGAAGGTTCCCCACTGCGTAACGAAGGTTGTCTTCTCCATGTCCTCAGGAGCCATCTTGATCTGATTGTAACCAGAAAAACCATCCAAGAAGGAGAAGATCTTATGTTGCGCGGTGTTTTCGACCAGAACATCGATGTGAGGAAGCGGGAAATCATCCTTGGGGCTTGCCCTGTTTAGATCTCTATAGTCCACACATATCCGTACCTTACCATCCTTCTTAGGCACTGGAACAACGTTGGCAACCCAATGCGAATAAGAAGTGACAGCTAAAAATCCCGCATCTAACTGTTTCATGACCTCAGCTTTGATTTTCTCAGATATCTCAGGGCACATACAACGAACTTTCTGCTTTACCGGAGGACAATCTTCTTTGGTTGGCAGGCGGTGTACCACAATATCAGTGTCTAAACCTGGCATGTCTTCATAGGACCAGGCGAAGATCTCAACATGGTCACGTAACATCTGTATCAACTGTTGCTTGACATTAGGCTCCAGATTCGCACCTATCTTGACCTCTTTCCCGTCTTCCTTTGTACCCAAATTCACTGATTCAACTGGCTCTTCATGAGGCTGTATGGCCCTTTCTTCCTGTAATAACAGTCTAGCAAGCTCTCCAGGAACCTTACAATCATCCTCACCTTCGTCCTCGGCTTGGTTGATCGGATTTTCGAAGTCATAACTGGTAGTAGTAGAGTCGTTATCAATGGGATCCATAGTAGATATGGATCTGCATTATGATACGTGAGTGTGTGTAAGAGAATAGTTGTTTTGATAAAGCGAGAGATAGAAAAAGAAAAACAAGGAGCGCAAAATTTGTAATGCAAGAAACGTTCAATGCTTTATTAATGATATATGAAAATGATGAATAATAAGCCCTCACAAGCAAAGCCAAAGTGCCTCGGGAAAGGCACCCGGCCGTAAAGTTTCAAACTTTTTATTACAAGTCTCAAAACAAAAGTCAATTACTGTGGAATAAAAGAAACAGGTATGAAGTCTTTCGCCGTCCAGTTGTCCAGTCCGCCATTAGTTGTAGGGTAGATCCAACTGTCGATATCTGAATCTTTTTCACCATCTTCAACCGCATTAACTCCCTGATTACTGATGTGCAGAGGAGGTCTTCCAATCCGTATCGGTCTACGTCGTACAGTTCCCTCACAGTTTATTGCTACTTACCTAAAAGGTGTCCCCAGATCCGGGCTAGGATCTATAGTAACTCCCAAACAAAACCCTTAAAAGTAAAGCAACCAAAACAAACAAGAGAAGCAATTTATGATGAACTAGATCCTAAGGTATACCCCACTTATTATTTCCCCAGCAGAGTCGCCACTTCTGTGATACGGTGGCAGAACCGACTATTTTGGAAATGCTGGTTTGCATTTTGCATTTGTATTCACAAAATGTCGCGGTAAGCAAGAGTCGCCATCGACTTTTATTTTATCCAACTGGAAAGGAAAAAAGCACAGAAAAATTCCTTTTTCGAGATTTTGAGTATGGGGGGGTAGATTATAGAAAGGGAAGGTGTTAGCACCCTTTCTATCCATGATTTTCCTTAGGCTCACTTGATTCATCTTAATCCTTGATTAAGATTTGAATCAAGATAGACATTAGAATTTTAATCCAAGCATGACAACATTAGGATAAAAGTTTCTCATTGAATCAAAACTCCAAGTCCATCATGGCATGACAACATTAGGTTAGATTTCCCTTCAATCTTAATCTTAGGGCCACTTTGTATGATAACATTAGGATTTCAAGTCTCCCTTTAGACTTTTCTTTTGCATCCTTTAAAACTAAAAGTTTTTTTCAATCAAAAATCCAAAAACACATTACAATTAATGTTCAAAACCCTTTTCAAAACTAAAGGCGTGAAGGTGGTGAATGTCTCCTTGGATGAGGGTCCACTTATTATCTCTCTCCTAACAAAAATACAAACTAAATCCAAATCATTTTGCCACTTGACTTTTCTCCTTATAATATTTTCAAAAAGGACATGTTAATTCCATTCTATCCAATACAACAATACAAACAACAAATGTTAATTGTTAGAATGCAAACTTAGCATCATCCATAAAAAACACTCAACAAACAAATATTTTTTAGAAGAACTACGGTGTTCTGATTCCCTTGTGGATATACGTAGGCATGAGGTTACAAAGCTCAGGCGAACACACTAATAAAATTCATTTCCCTCAATGAATTTATGCATGCATTCCCTTTAGCAAGTAAGAATTAGATATACACACACATTAATTAGAACAACAAGAGTAGATCTCGCGTGGAGTACCACGGACGTGAGGGGTACTAATATCTTCCCCTTACATAGTCAACTCTCTTATCCGAGATTAGATTGCAAGACAATTTTCTTTTCCATTTTAAAATTTTCTCTATATTTTCCTTTCCCTATTTCGAGATAAATAAAATTAAGTGACGACTCTATTTATTTTAAGAAATTTTGTGCATTTTTTTGCATAGCTTCAACTAGTTCCTAGGCATGAGCCAACCTTGTAGTTGCATGAACTCACCCTCTTCCATAACTGAGAGTTTCGGCCAATATGTCTCCAGATTTGCCTGAACATGCTCATGTCATTTTGAGTATTCTTCAAAGATTTATTGTGTTTTATCTCTAAATAGTATAGGTCATCTGATGCCAATTAGACTTGGTCCATTACAAATATATATGTCCAATCAGTATCAATTAAAATAAAGACTTTTTTTAATATTTGTGAATTAGTTAAAGATGTGTTTTTTGAAAAGTGTAAAATAAGATTTATATTAAGAGATAAAAGTAATGATAAAATAGTGATATTTATAATAATGTGATATATTGATAATTAAATACTGAATAAAATGGTAAAAAGTAGAATTAAATAAAAACATTTAATTAGTATGTTTGATAAAATGGTGATTTATGAGATTAGTAATTTGGGTTATTAGTGTTCTAAATAGAGGTATTTATCTAAATATGTCGTAATGAGATATCATTAATCAAATCGTGTTCTCTTTCTTCATCCATCCTCGAGGCAAAGAGAAGCACCGGTGTGGTGTTTTCTTTTGCTTATTTTCATCCATCCATTCATCTTCATGGGTGTTTTATTTTCTAGAAATCTTCCTTTTAAATATTTCTTGCCATTCCTTTTCTCCAGCAGAGTTTCTGGGAACTTATTTCCCAAGGAACTCCAGGATATGATGTGTATGGTATCTCGCACTGGAAGAGATTTGCAACGTTATGATGATGATGGTTGTCGCCAAATCGTCGGGTACGTACGCGTAATGATTATTTTCACGTTCTCAGCTTTTATTATCAATTTGGTTTCTAAGGTTTTATTCAGATTAATAATTAGGTTTTCAAAACTAATGTTGTGTATAATACTGGAAATGAATAGATGCATTCCATATAGATATAGGAGAAAAGGAGAGCATAAGAAAGAATTGGAGGTTCTTGTGATTAGTGCTCAGAACGGAAATGGAATGCAGTTTCCAAAGGTATTCATTATTATTGCAATTTATTTTGTTTAAACCTCTTGAATACTTCCTAAGTGGTTGGGGTTGCGCAGGGAGGTTGGGAGACTAATGAATCCATGGAGCAAGCTGCTTTAAGGGAGACCATAGAGGAAGCTGGAGTTATGGGAAATATTGAAGTTAGTAATTAACCTTTTTAACTTTTAACTTATAAGCTGCTTTTATCAATAAAAATAACTTGTGTTCATTTATCTTTCAGACTAAATTGGGTAAATGGTCTTATAAGAGCAAACGCCAAGATGTTGTACACGAGGGTTACATGTTTTCTTTACTTGTCAAGAAGCAGTTAGAGAATTGGCCTGAGAAGAACTTCCGGAAAAGAAGTTGGGTAAGTGTATTCTAATAATTCTTTCTTTTATTTAAATACAGGTGTTTTTTGTTTAAATTATTATCATATCTAAATTTCCATTCATTTGTGTTACATAGATGAGTGTTAGTGAAGCCAAAGAAGTTTGTCCACATACTTGGATGAAGGAGGCTTTGGATGTATTGGTCAGCACACAACCTCAACATTAATCCCATCAAAACACCATCAACATGTAACTAACTAGTTTCAAAAGTGGAAATTAACTTTCTGATCTTCTCAAAATTTTGGTATTTGCAAGGTCATATACACGAGGAACGTTCAAGATTTTAGGACGGATAATTCAGAATCATTCAACAAAAATCAAGTAATTCTTACACTCATAACAACATGTAATTCAGCGGCCTTCAAATTTTTATGCTGGCATGCTCATAGTCATTGTTATAAAGGCCAAAACATCCTGTTTCTAGAATGTAGCGGTTCAGGGGTGATCTTGCAAACATAACTCAATCGTAGATTGATGTACAAAATTAATACATTATTTCGTTTCTTTTTTATCAAGCATTAATTTGACTCTTATGCAATGTGATTTTTACCATACTGCTTCATTCTGATAATAATAAAACTAGGCAACAAAACTGATTGCATAAGCCATATCAAATCTGACAAAAGGTAAACAATACATTGTGCTTCACATGAAGAGTTGGAAAAGGCTCTTTATTCAAATTTTGTTGAGGATTTTAAGACTACTTCTTATTTATTATTCTTCTAACTGATGAAAGATGAACTCAAATAGAAAGAGATTCCATTAGTTGATCTTCTGGTTCCACTGCAAGCACCCCAATCAGAACCAGTAAAGCATGTTATGGTTATGTTTGAGTCTTTTTTAAAGAGAATAAAAAATGAGAACTCTCATGTAGACAACAATATATATTGCTAGAATTAATAAATAAAAAAACTATTCTAGACTACCATATACAATTTATTTATGCAAAAATTAATAAGAAATCTAACTACCAAAATGTAAACTATTGTAAATTAATAAGAGCTGTATATGATGTGTAGATTATGTTTGAATGATTTATAATGGGAACACACGAGGAGATTAGGTGTTTGAAGTTTTTGTCCAGAAGTTGCAACAATGGAGGTTTTGTATATAATTCTGAGTTTCAGGAAGTTTGAGAGTGTTTCAAGGCTTGTCAATTCGTGCTAAGGCTTGTAAACAACCTCTTTATTTATAGATAAAAGGTTTTAGAGGCTCAAGTAATCAGAAATCAAAGATCACATGTTATGGTTATGTGACTTGATTTTGAAGCAAACTTGAAATACCTTGTTCCAATGCATAATACAAGGACTTGTAGGGTGGTTGACAGGCTTGTAGACGGTTGCTTCTTTCTTTGAAATGTTTTGAAATCAAAAGCAACAATGTATGGGCTCAAGTAGAGTTGACATTGTGTATAAAGCAACTTTTCCAAAATGGAAGTCTTGGTTTTCTTCCCTAAATGGAAAATCAACTTGGACAAAAGTTGAATCACTTGGACAATGGATCAATCAGTTGTGTAAACATTTAAATTATTGATTGATTTTCAAGTTAGAAGGTCTGCAAAGCAAGATTATGCATCATGCTTGAAGATTGGATCATAAGGTTCATCACAAAATGACCTAAAATTCAAGTTTATGATGTCATATTCATCTCTTCGAAACTTCTAGTCATGATCTCTTCAAGTTCTTGGACATTTTAGAAATCTTGAAACATTTTCTACAACCTTGATGTTGACCACTTTGGCTAAATCAACTTGGAACTTGGTGAAAAATAGCCAAGAAATTGGGACAAAAATCTGGCCAAACTTGTTAAAAATTTCACTAAGTGTTTTGTTAAAAATGTCTTGACTTCATAGGCCTATATCTCCAAATCTAAGCATTTTTTGGACATCAACCCTTCGAGACAAAGTTGTAGAATTCATCATGCTCTACAACTTTCATGTTGAAAGTTTTCTTTGAATCATCTTGCATCTTAGTGAAAAATTGTCATGAAGTAGTGAAATTATCAAGGTTAAAAACACTCAGAATTTTTCTAAGTCTTGGAAATCTTGACTTTTTGTTGACTTTGTTGATTCTTGATGATGAAGTTTGATATTTTTGAATGTATTAATGAATCTTGATCTTTGAAATTCAATATTGACCAAAAAGTCAAAGTTTGACTTTTTGTGTATCAGTTGACTTTTTATTAGTTGACCTAAATTTCAACTATCAATCACTTGACCTTTGAGAATGTTTTGAACCATGAAATTAGGTCAAGACATTGTGTTTGAGTCCTTAAGATCATGCTTCAAGTCATTAGCCTATGTATTAGGTCAAAAGTCAATGATCAGTTATTCTCAATTAAGACCTTAATTTTGATAATTTTTCCCCTTTGATGATTTGAATGCTTTTCTTGAGGAATTATGATCACCCCTTGATCAAATGATGAATATGACTTCAAAATGTTGATGTTGACCAAAAATCTTGAAGTTTGACTGTATATTGATCACAGTTGACTTTTTACCCAATATAGTTGATTTTCAGTCATCTGAGCAATTGACTGAGCAAATTTGTAGTGCAAGACTTGAAACTTGGTATGAGTATTCTTGGAGACCCATAATGAATCATGAAAGTCACTTGAGGCATTAGAAGTCCAATCTTCCTTGAGAAAACCAAAAGCCTAATTTGTGGACTCAGTGCTTAGGATGTGAGCTTGTCTGATCAACTCTTGAGAACCCTTGAGTATTTGAGATCTTTTTGTGAGAAATGTCTTTAGAAAAGGGAGGGAAAATTTTGGGGTACAACAATTTGGTTTCGTGGTCTTCTGGTTGAACTTGGATTCCCTCAAATAGAGTAAACTTCACTTTATGCTGACAATACAAGTGTCATCCAGATTGTTGTGAATCATATTTTTCACAAACGCTCATACGTATCGAAGTTGATTGTCATTCAATTTGTGACACGTATGATGATCGACTAATATCACTTCCTCATGTCAGTACCCAGTTGCAAGTTGCAGATATTCTTATCAAAGTTGTTCCGCGTCCATGTCATCAGTTTCTTGTTAGCAAATTGATGCTCATTGATCAGCCGCATCAATTTGAGGGGGTGTGAATAAGTAGTTAGAATAAGGGTTTATTCATAGAATAAGGAAAACAAAATAGAAATTGATTTGTTTTCATTAAATGTAATTAATTAGTGTAATTACCTGTATAGTCTTGTAATCTCTATATATACAAGAAATAACAATGAGAAAGATATCAAGTCAATTTTTCTGAAAACTACAAAGTTGTTTAAATACACAACAAAATTAAATGCCACATAGGCAAAGCTAAAGCCAACAATAAAACTAAGTTGACACGTGAGCAAACAACTACTAAATCCAAAAACTTAGACACAATTTCTAGACCAACAAAACAACCTCAGAAGTAGAGTCAAAACACTTTATGATCATTTACTTCTAAACCAGAATTACTTCAAACAAAAATGAATCACTTATCATCCTTAGCAATTTATGTTGTTCTTGTCTTTGATTCTTATGTTAGTTGTGTTTTATGTTTGTACAGTTTTCTAAGTAAGCATGGATTAATGATGTTTATCTACTTTTAGTTCGTTTCTTTTATTGATTTTAGTTATAGTTCATGTTCAGGTTGTTTAGATTATTGTCGTGTAATGGGTTAATGACTCTATGTATCAAACTATCCACCCTGTTTATGTTCCCGGTGTATCAAACTAATTAAGATTAATGTTCCCCTTTTGTGTTGATCCAATTTCTAGTGTACTAACTATTTCTTGTGAAGTGCTTTGAAACAACCGTGGCTTGAAAGCAAGTAATTAGCAATGACAACCTTAGAGTGTAAGTTGGAGCTAAAATCAATTGCGCTGTTAGTTCATAATGTTGAGTACAATCTCAGATACATTGTTTTCTTAATTGATTTTAACCTACAAATTGCAAATAGTTGAATGAGAATTTTACCAGTTTATGTCATTCTAATATTTTATGGTGTCACTTGAGTTCCTTTTCAGTCTGTATACTTTTTTCCAACCATTTTCTTTCTTTCGGAATTATTTAAACATAAAAATAAAGTTATAAACTCAATAGTATTTCTTCCTTAAAAAATAAATCATGAGTTCTACTTAAAATGGTCTATGATTTTTTCCTTTTTCTTTTTCTTAAAAGATGAACTTATTTGTAAATTGTAAACAGGCTCTTATCCTTTTGTAGAAGTCAGAAAGAAGTTTGTGTCTCGTGTAATTTATCTCTAGTGGAATATCAACCACCTATTAAGGAGAGAGAAAGAGCAAATAATATTAAAAAACAAGAAAGTAATAGATTATACTTTTGAAAATTCTACATTCAGCATTTTAGAAGTGCTTATTTTTTAAGCAATTTTCTCTAATTTGTTCCCTGAAACGTATACAATGCATTTGAATTACTATGTGCATCCAATACACCACCTTAATTCAAATGCTCCAAATTCTACATGTCTAAGTTCTTCTTCAACTTCTTGAACACATCATTTGTGACTCATTTCGTCAACGAATTTGTAACTTGTTCTTCGCTTCGACAGTATCCCAACCTCAGCTTGCCTTCACACACCAGATTTCTCAAGCAATGAAACCTCATCTCAATATGCTTGCTCCTCTCATGTGCAATTGGATTCTTAGCAAGGTTAATGGTTGAAACATTATCAATCAAGAGTGTGACAATTTCTCCAATATTGCTGCCCAACTCTCCCAACAGACTCATAAGCCATACAACTTGGCACGCACACAACAATTTAATGATATACTCGGCCTCACAAGAATAGATTGCTGCCACAGATTCCTTTTTAGAACACCAAGAGATTGGTGCTCCTCCAAACATAAAGATATAATCAGTCGTAGACTTTCTATCATCTTTATCTCTGCACCAATTAGAATTCGTGTAACCGAGCAAATCCCATTTTCTGCCTGTATCAGCTGCAGGAAAGAGAATTCCGCATCCAAGAGCTCCTTTGACGTATCTTAGGATCCTCTTAATTGTTGCCAAGTGTGACATCTTCGGCCTCTCCATGAATCTACTCGCAATACTAATACTAAACGTCAAATCTGGTCGCGTATTGCAGAAGTAACGTAACGATCCAATCAATCTCCTATATTACGTTAGATCTGCATTCTGCTCTTCATCTCTTTTGGAGATTTGCAACATTGCTTCAGGGGGTTATTGACACTATTACAATGCTCCATATCACACCTTTTCAAAATCTCAAGAGCATACTTTCTTTGATGCATGAGCAGTCCCAATTTTGACTTGTGAAACTCTACCCCAAGAAAGTAAGTCATAGTGCCAAGGTCATTCATTTCAAACTCTTCCATAAGTTTACTCTTTAACTTAGAAATACTCAATTCATTGTTTCCCGTGATCAACAAGTTATCAACAAATAAGAAAAGTATGATCACATCTTTGCTTGCATCCGTCTTCACATAAACACCATATTCGTACACACATTTCTTGAAGCCAACATTAACTAGGAAACCATCAATGCATTTGTTCCAAGCTCTAGGAGCTTACTTTAAACTATAAAATGCTTTCTTCAATTTGTAGACCCTTCCCTCTTGATTTGTCACAATAAAACCAGGAAGTTGTTCTACATAAACTTCCTCCTCGAGTGGATCATTCAAAAATGCAAATTTCACATCCATTTGATAAATTGACTAATTGTTGTTATTCATAATACCAACAACCAGCATATGTTTTCTATCCTAGAAACAGGTGCAAATACCTCATCAAAGTATATACCTTCTCTTTGCAAAAAAAACTTTCGCAACTAGTCGAGCCTTATGCTTGACTATTTCACCTTTGGGATTTGCCTTCACTACTCATCTCACAATGATTGGATTCTTTCATTCCGGTAGATCAACCAACTCCTAATTACTATTTTTCTCAATCGATTCCAGCTCCTCTTTCATTGCACACATCCACTTTGGAGCGCTTAATTCCTCTTCCATGCTAACAGGCTCGGATTCGACCATAAGTGCAAAGTGAACGAGATCACCATCATTATTGATTTCTTCAT